TATTTCTAAGAGGTTAACAATCAATAGAACAGCTCGATAAGTAAACACTTATATTATATCGGAAACCAACTAAGGATCTTTTTATTCAGTGTCCTACCTAGTTAACCATCTGTTTGTCACGCGTTATCCAAATACTATTTATTTTTCTACGATCATTCAGATTGATATTTATATTAAACCCAGTGTCGTAGTCAGCCTTCCTGAGRGATAGTGGGTGTATAGTATACATGAACTGTATACATTATTCCTCTCCCCAAATCCTAACCCTGGCTACGGCACTGCCTTCCCCGCGGACATGTAGGTGGTTAAATAAGTAATAAGAAGGTTAGTTTAGGTTATATACCTATAGCAAATGRTAAGTTGAACTCAGTTGATGATAGATTACTATCATCACTGGTCGTGACCTTTGCATTGATCTTTTCCTACTATCAAGGTATTAGAAATTGTAAACATCATGACAATGAAAGAAATTTAAAAATTAACGGGGCTTTTATTATTCATGCGAAGCCGTTTTCGACCAAAAACGTACCCTTCCATTTTCAGCCGATTCACTTTTCGACCAAATTTAAAAAAGGTCGATTCCCTTTTTGACCAAAATCGTACCCTTCCCTTTTCGGCGGATTCATTTTTCRACCAAATTTWAAAAAGGCTGATTCCCTTTTCGGCCAAAACAAAAATTTATATAATATATGTAAAAAAAATAAAATAATTGCCGCAGCTATACCTATATAATATAAATGAAATAAGGTCTGGATAGTATATTATARAGAGCCTAGATAATAAATTGATTATTATMTTAGATCTTAGACTTGTATAGTTAAGTTGTAAATKATCTAAGATTATTATCAAGGCTCTCTAGTGTAAATAATATTGGTTCACGCATGCGCGTATGAGGCGTGGAACTAGCCTGAAAGCACGATTTAAGATAATATTATACAGGTTGAATATCGGCCTATAACGGCTATAACGAATTAACGAATAGTGCTTCATGATGACTGGGTCACCAACCATCTGAAACAGCTGAGAGCCCAGAATCACTAGCGCTCGTAGTG